AGAGAGAGAGAGAGAGAGAGAGAGAGAGAGAGAGAGAAAAAAAAGAGGAGTTTGTGTGTGTTTGTGTGTGTGTTTGTGTGTGTGTTTGTGTGTGTGTTTGTGTGTGTGTGAGAGAGAGAGAGAGAGAGAGAGAGAGAGTAACGGAGCTGGGAGCTAATTCTGGAAGAGAGAGTAACGGAGCAGGGAAAGAGAAAGCCGCTCTTGCCCCTTCCCGTTGACTGAATGATTATGAATGAGATTGAAAAGGGATAAGATTGTGGATAAGATTAATGGTAAGATTGTGGATAAGATTAATGATAAGATTGTGGAAAAGATTAATGATAAGATTGTGGATGAGAGTATCCATAAGAAGATTGCAAGTGGGGATGATTGTTGATAAGATTTTGCAAGAGGAGATGATCGTGGATGAGAGTGCTAGAGGATATGATTGTGGATGAGATTGAAAAAGGATAAGATTGTGGATAAGATTATGGATAAGATTGTGGATAAGATTGTGGATAAGATTGCACGAGGGAATGGTTGTGGATGAGGTTGGGAACGGGATATGATTGTCGATAAGATTGGAAGAGGAGATGGTTGTGGATGAGATTGCAAAGGGACATTATCGTGGATAAGATTGTGTGGATAAGGTTGTGGATAAGATTGTGTGGATAAGGTTGTGGATAAGATTGTGGATAAGATTGCAAGGGGGATGATTGTGGATGAGATTGTGGAAGGGATATGATTGTGAATAAGATTGGAAGAGGAGATGATTGTGGATGAGATTGCAGAGGGATATGATTGTGGATAAGATTGGAAGAGGAAATGATTGTGGATGAGATTTGAGGAGGATATGATTGCGGATGAGATTGCAAAAGGGTACAAGTATCGATAAAATCGGACGATTGCAAGATGAGATGATTGTGGATGAGATTGCAATGAGCAGATGACTGTGGATACGATTGCACAGGGACGTGATTGTGGACAAGATTGCAAGCGGAGATGATTGGGGATGAGATTGCATGAGGAGATTACTACTCGCTCAGCGAACTACAGTTTTGGTGTCGAATAGCACCAAAGACTTGCAACTCTGTGCTCTCATCGACTTTATGTGGATTTCCTTCATCAGTCAGGGTCTGCCGAGTCTCTGTGTCGATAATTGTGCCCGCCCTACCCGCTCC